CACTATGACACTGTGGGCCATACAATTCTTTGTTCTGGCTGTTTGTGTGTTGAAGGATGGTTAGCAGCACTCCTGGCCTCTCCCCACCAGATGCCAGTAGCACTTCCTTCCCCAGTTGTGACAACGAAACTATCTTTGGACCTTGCCAGTGTCCAAAATCACCATGGAAAACGAGTGATGTGGATTCAGGCTTGGCTTACCAAAAGCAGTGGACTTAACCATGAGAATCCATACTCCTTCATGGGTACCAGACAGTAGGAATCCTTAAGAATTTGGGAGGCAAGGCAAAGAAAGAAAAATAATATAAACCTTTCTTTGGTAATAGCAGCTTTACTGAGATACAATTCACTTACGGTACAATTTATCCTTAAATTTTAAAGTGTACCATTCAGTGATTTTGATACATTTAGAGTTGTTCAGCTATCTACCATTCTTATCCAATTTTAGAACATTTCACTTTCCCCAAAAGAAACCTTATACCTATTAGCAGTCACTCTCCATCCCCTCCCCAACCCCTGGTCACCACAAATGGACTTTCTACCTCTGTAGATCTGCCTGATCTGGACATTTTATGTAAGTGGAGTCATTCAACATTGCATACATGTGTGGTTTAAAAAAATAAAATATTTATCACATTTTGAAATTAGAGATCCTGCTCATGTAAACCCTGGTTTTTCTTTCACTTAGCACGATGCTTTCAGAGTTTATTCATGTTGTAGCATGTGTCAGTTCTGCATTTCTTTTTAAGGCTGAATAATAATCATTGTGTGAACACACCATGTTTCGCTTATCCACTCAGCAGTTGAGGTACACTTAAGTTGTTTCCACCTTTTGGCTATGCTATATAATAAAGAGGTAATATGAAAATGGTCATCATGCCCTCATGCTGTCATGCCATAATGGCTCAGACACTCAACACTGGGGAGAGAGGAATGGGGACCAGCCAGGCTGTGGCCTGGGAGAGGGACAAGCTGCCCGCCCCATGGTCCTGGGCGCCTGCTGCTGCGGCCCACACAAAGCCTCCTGCCCACAGTCCCCTGTGGCTGCGGCCGGCCTGGGCAAAGCTGGCCTGGATCCTGGGTGTCTGTGGCCAGCCAGAGGGAGGGAAGCCCGGGTCCTGGGTGCGGGGGGAGGCAGAAGCAGTTAGGGGTGATCGAGAGGGACAAGCTGCCCACCCGTGGTCCTGGGCGCCTGCAGCTGCAGCCCAGGCAAAGCCACCTGGCCACAGTCCCCTGTGGCTGCAGCCGGCCTGGGCAAAGCTGGCCAGGACCTGGGTATCTGTGGCCTGCCATAGGGAGGGAAGCCCTGGTCCTGGGTTCGGGGTGAGGCAGAGGCGATTGGGGGTGATCAGGCCAGTAGGCAGAGGTGGTTAGGGGCAATCAGGCAGGCAGAGATGGTTAGGGGCTATCAGGCAGGCAATCAGAGGGGTTAGGGGCAGGCAGGCGAGCAGTTAGGAGCCAGCGGTCCCTGATTGTGAGAGGCAGTCGGACATCCCCCGAGGAGTCCCGGATTAGAGAGGATGCAGGCTGGGCTGAGGGACCCTCCTCCCCCATGCATGAATTTCATGCACCGGGCCTCTAGTTATTAATAATGCTGTATAAACCTTCATACACAACTTTTATGTGAACATCTGTTTTCATTTCTCTTGAGTATATACCTAGGAGTGTGAATTGCTGGGCCATATGGTAACTATGCTTAACACTAGAGGCCCAGCGTGCACAAAATTGTACGTGAGTAGCTCACTTCCACTTGCCTCAGCTGGCCACCCTGTCCATCACTGTTTTCAACTTGTGCCCCACCCCACCTGCCGTGAGGGCCGCTGCTTGTTTGGTCGTGATGGCGTTACGGTGTGACGGCCACAGGCCTTTTATATAAGAGATTTTGAGGAATTGCTGAACTCTTTACCAAAGGGCCTGCACCATTTCACATTCCTACCAGCTTAAGAAGGCTCTAATTTCTCCATGTCCTTGCCAACATTTGGCTACAGCTGTTTTAGTGCGTCTGAAGGGGCATCTCATTGTGGTTCCCATTTCCGTTTCCCTGATGACTAATGATGTTGAGCTGCTCTCCACATTCACCTTCTTTAGAGAAATGTCTCTTTATATCCTTTGTCCGTTTTTAAACTGGGTTGTTGGTTTGTATTGCTGAATTTGAAGGATTCTTTATGTAGCCTGGATATGCCTCTTATCAGAAATATGATTGACGAATATTTTTCCCATTTTGTGGGTTATCTTTCATTTTATTGAGAATATCTTCTGAAAAGTTTTTATTTTTTGATTTTTTTGTTACTCTTCACCTAAGCATATTTTTTTCCACTAATTTTTAGAGAGACTGGAAAGGAAGGAGGAAGGGAGGGAGGGAGGGAGGGAGGGAGAGAGAGAGAGAGAGAGAGAGAGAGAGAGAGAGAGGGGAGAGAGACGTGTCCCAACTGGAGCCTGGGATCGAACCTGAAACCCAGGTACATGCCCTTGACCGGGAATGGAACCTGTGACCCTTTTGGTGCTTGGGCTGACGCTCTAAGCCCTGAACCACACTGGTCAGGGATAGAAAAGTTTTTAATTTTGATGAAGTCCAATGTATTTTTTTTTCTTCTGCTGCTTGTGCTATTGGTGTCATATCTAAGAAACCACTGCCAAATGTATGACCCACAGATTTATTTCCATAATTTCTAAGAGTTTGCAGTTTTAGCTCTAATATTTAGATTTATGATCTGTTATGAGTTAATTTTTATATATGGTGTTAATTAAGAGTCCAAGTTTATTCTTTTGCCTGCAGATATCTAGTTGTCCAAGCACCGTTTCTTAAAGAAACTGTTCTTTCCCCATTGAGTTTTCTTGGCACCCTGGTTGAAAATCAATTGGGCTCTCAATTCTATTCCATCAGTCTATATTTCTGCTCTAACTTGTAGCTCACTATTTTCTTACCATGTAAAGGTGGTGGGAAGGTGTTGTTGATCAACAGGAGGATGAAGGAATCTGGTAACTTGCATACATGTGTGGTTTAAAAAAATAAAATATTTATCACATTTTGAAATTAGAGATCCTGCTCATGTAAACCCTGGTTTTGCTAATAGGGGGGAAAGATTACTTTTACATTTTATTTATTTATTTATTATTGGGTTGACATTGGTTAATAAAATTATATAGATTTGAGGTGTACAGTTCTATAATACATCATCTGTGTATTGTATTGTGTGTTCACCACCCCAAGGCCAGCCTCTTTCCATCACCACTTATCTCCCTTATATTCCCACACCCTCTACTACATCCCTGAACTCCCTTCCCTTAGGTCATCACCATGTTCTTGTCTGTGCCTATGAGGTGTTTTTTTTTGTGGGTTTTTTTTTTTTTGCCTAATCCCTTCACCTTTTCCACCCAGCCCCGCAACCCCCATTCCCTCTGATAGCTGTCAGTCTGTTTGTTCTCTATACATTGTAATGTTAGAGATGAACGAAACTGCCCAAAGGATCACAGCTCATCAGTGGCAGAGACTAGGATTAGAATCCAAATCTCTTGAACCATCAAGGCGATATTTTTCTTATTCCCAGGCCCTGAATCTCAGGTCTCTAACCCTGACCACAGGTCTGCCTGAACCTCCTTTACCAAGCTAGTGAGCTTGTGTGTCCTCCCTCACTGCTGAGTCCCCTGCAGTGAGTGTGTGTGAGGGGTGGCATGTGTCTGTTCCTTCCTTTCCCACTGAAGGAAAGAAAGCAGTGAGGGGAAAGCAGTTGGAAAATTGGAAATTGCTGTGTAAATGCCACCGAATGATAAGATTGCCGGTTTGATGCTCTTCTCCCGGGAAGGGTCAGGGTGTCAGAGGCAGCAGAATGGAAGGAAGCAAACCACTTTCAGACATGCTTTTAAACTGCCAGGGTTGTCACTTCCCAAGGGGACAGAGTGTGGGAGCTGCATTGAGCCTGGGGCTGGGCTGGGCTGGCTGTGTCGCCTCGCCTCACATCTCAGGGACACCCCAGGTAGATGGAAGAGCTCTTGCCCAGCTCATGCAAGACGGGTTCACTCAGACCTGGGGACCTGGCCCTAGAGGGACAGTATCCAGATGGTGGACCCTTGATGCTGTCCACACTCATCTTTGTCTTTTCAGAGTATCCCTGTGTGTCTCTGTGTTCAATCCACACTGCCTATCTCATGGGTCACACCCACAGAGTGAGTCCTGTTTGAAACCAGGCTATGGGGTGATTCCCCCTGAATTGTGAGCCCTCAAATGGCAGGGGCTGTGTCCGGTTTCCTCTGTCTCTGCAGGGCCAGATGCAGGCTGAGGGCTCAGTGAATGCGGGTTTGCATGTCGAGGCTCGGGTTTGGGTGAGTCTGTGAGGGAAGCTTCTCCTGGCTCCCTGGCCTCTTGCAGAGGGGGCGGCCTCTCCAGCACAAGCAGCCGCTCCCTGCGCCTCTCCTGCCTGCGCATTTCCCTCCCTGCATCTGTAATTGCTCTCTCCTCCAGGCTCCAGTTGTGTTCCTTCTGTACCACCCATGTGTTCTGATACCTTTTTATCTGTACATCCTGTCATTGCAGCGAAATCATACATTTCTTTGATGGCAGGAAGTGTGTGTTGTACTTATTTGGGTCACCAGCATAGAGCACGTGCTACTGGGTGCGTGTGTTTCAATGGGGAAGTGCTCGCTCTGATATTAGCAACCTGCTGCTGAACTCGAGGCCCGCGGTGTCAGTCCTGCTGCAGTGACGGCCGCTGGCCAGTGGCCCTAGATATCTGCCGGGAAGCGGGGTTGTGGGGAAGCCAGTATTTTGAAAGGGCTCAGAGTTCCTTGATTGAAATGAATTAAAGAAACCATGATCACCGCATTCTAGTTGCCCAGCATGGCAAGCTCTAGCCTGCATTCCCACTGAGCCCAGCCCCGGAGGAAGCGGTAGCTGTGAGCTGAGTGCCCAGACTTGCTCCCTCCCTCCTCTGAGCATGCATCGGAGGCCTTCGTGGCCTGCACACCTGCCCAGGGAACCTCACTGCGTTGTCTCCTCCCATTTAGGGCTCTGGCTGACATCTTGAGACAACAGGGACCAATCCCCATAGCACACTGTGAAAGAGAAACGATCTCGGCCATCGATACCTCCCCCAAGGAGAGCACACCGGTCAGATCGTCCTCCAAAAACCACTACACCCCCGTGCGCACAGCCAAGCCGCCTCCAGGTAAGTGCGCGCTGAGCGCCTTGGGTCTCTGCTCAGGCTGCTGAGAGGTCGCGGTGATGTTGATGCTCCTGTGGGGCAGGTCGTGGAGCCTGTGCTGTCAGACTCTGATGGGCAGCTGGGCTTGTGGGGATCTGTGGTCTGCCCCCTGGGGAGGGATTGGCATGGTGGAGATGCCACCAATGTGTATCTGCCCAGAGGAGAGCTGTTGATTTAGAGAGTGGTTGGCAGAATCCTCTTACCTGAAAGGGAGCTTGACCAACTGGGATACTATGTGACAAGAAATTGCTGCAGTCATTGTAGAGACTTCTCAGCTGTTAGAATCTCAAAAACAAAACAAAACAAAACAAAAAAACAAAACCCCCAAAAAACAACCACACACAAAAACCCAACACTTCGAGGGTAGGGATTCTGTCTGGGTTGTAGGGTGACCCTTCCCTGTGTTCTGGCGATTGCTGGCTGGATGATGAGTTGCCATGTAATAGCAATACACCTTCTGCTCTTCTGCTTGGTCATTACTGTGACTGTATGAAGGGAACTGAGCAGGGCTCACTTCCCTTGTTGTATGAAACAATAACTGAAGCTTAGAACTTTTGCGACTTGGACAGGTCACTAAGATATTAATAATAAGACATCAGTAATGACAGTGATATAACCTTTCATGATTGGATCTTGCTCTGTGCCAAGTGTTTTGCTGAGCATTTTATGTGTTTTTCTTACTGATTCCTCACAGCAGTTTTAAAAGTACTTATATTGTTCCCATTTCACACGAGGAGTAGGACGGTTCAGTGTGTTTCCCAAAGACAGGGTTGTTAGAAAGAAAGCCGGGATTCAAACTGGGGCATAAAGGTAACACTAATCGGGACTAGAAAATCCTAATATCCTAACCCAGCAGGGTCATGAATCCAAAGTGTCTGAGTGGACAGTCTCCTTACAAGTACAGCTGGGGAAGTTGTTTCTCATTATGAGCTGTAACAGACAGCCGAGTACTGACCCTAGCCTTCGACAGAGCTTCCACTTTGATACTCGGGTCTGAAATCTTCACATCCATCTCCCTTTTCAAAGGATGGGCTACATATAGTGTGAACTAACCCTGCAATAAGGATATATACAGCTGGGTGGAGTGGGTCTGCTGCAGATTCAAAATTATAGTTAATATGCCGCTGGGATCAAATTTATTTTCCATTCATTCTTGAATTTTCTTAAATTTACTAAGCCAGAAACCACATAAATGTATTTAAGGTAATAGCATTAAATCTTTTAAGAATCTGATTAAAGTTAAGGACATTCTCCTTAGAAAATATAGATATATATGAATATATGTATTCATCCCACATTTTGCATAGGATTTAAGGGGATTCACAGACCTTTCCAAAGTTAGAGATCCCTGATTTCAAGTTAAAGATGAGAGACCCACCTTTGCAGAAAGTCTAAGATGCATTTTTAGCCTTAATGTCATTGATGCTTAAAATGGAAGCAATAGAAGGAATCTTGGCAAACACACCACACATACACACACACACACACACCCGGGCCAGTAGTTATCTACCCACATGCACTTTAGAATCACCTGGAAAGCTGTTACAAATACTGGTGCCTGGGCCCCACAAATTAACTAGAATTTCCAGGGATGCTGCTGGGATGTTCCAGGGATCCCTATGGTGATTTAGCTTGAGGACAGGGTGAAGAACCACTGGTCCAGATGGGTTCTTTCATGCTAGGAGTGAGGACACTGAAAGATTGTGCCGGTGGTTCTCACATTTGGCTGCACATTGGAGTCACCTGGGGAATCACCTGAGGAACTTTGAAAATTAAGGGTACCTGGGCCCTAAACCCAGAGATCGTGATTTAATTGATGTGGGGGGGGGGTGACTGAGCATGGTGGGTTGCCGGGGGCAGGGAGGGGGAAGGGAGGGTTTGGTGTTTAAAGCTTCCCAGGTGATACTAATGTGGAGCAAAGCTTGAGGATCACTGGGCTATGGACATTACATAAAGGGCCATTCTCATTAATCCTTCTGGTCATCCGTCACCGTGGGATCTGACCTTGGTACCTTGACCATCCTTGGGTAGAACATTTGTTTCTCTGAAGATTCATGGTTTAAAGTCAGGCTGCTCCAGAACCTTGTGTGCAGTTCCGGAACTTCAGGTCTCTGACATCCAAAGCATCCTTGGACGTTCACCTTCACCCCTATCTGCTCCGATTTTCTCTGTCTCACTTACAAGCCAGCTGGTTTCCAGCCACTGAGTCAGGACCGATTAAGTAGACGGTCTTGATTTGCTCTTAATGCCTTTCACTGGGCAGGAAGATTTGTCATTTCTTCTTGTTTCTATATACATCCTCTCCTCTAGTGATTTGAGAAAGAAAGCAAGCTTATAGTTACATGATTGACTCCCATGTTTGGAGAAATCCTTTCTGTATTTCTCGGTTTGGAAATCTTGATTTCACTTTTAGAAGTGAGTGTTGTTTCCCTGGCTGTTTCCCTGGCCCAGAAAGCACTTCCATTTAAAAGCAATTTTATAACAACCCACAACATCTACAGCTGATGATGGACAAAACAGCTTTTCCAAATAGTTGATATCCTTCTCCAGTTGATATCTTCTCTCTCCAATTTCAGAAGAATTTAAACAGAACTTTGGTCAAATGTTCAAAGTGGATAAAGACTGTGATTTTGCCATTGGCTCTGGTTTGTCAATGAGTTTGGTTGGCAAGTCTTTTAGGGGCATCTTAAGGATGATGTCCAGAAATACCAGGAGGCATCATAGCTTAGGGGTGGTTTTGCTACTCAAAATATTGTTCATGGACCTGCCTCGTCAGCATCATCTGGGAGTTTGTGAGAAGTGCAGAGTCACAGGCTCTATCTCACCTGATGAATGAAACTTGCATTTTTTAAAAATCCTCACCCAAGAATATATTTTTGTTGATTTTTTTTTTTAGAGAGAGAGAGAGAGAAACATTGAAACATTGATGTGAGAGAGACACATTGATCAGTTGCCTCCCTACACCCCCAGCCAGAGATTGAATCCACAACCCAGGTATGTGCCCTGACCTGGAATCAAACCTGCAACCTTTTGGTGTGCAGAATGACACTCCAGCCAGCTGAGCCACCCGGCCACAGCTGGAACCTGCATTTTAATGAATTCAGCAAGTGAAGTTTGAGATGCACCAGAAGATATGAGCTCTCCTCAGTTTGTGTTTGCACCCTGTCTGCTGCCTAGAGTTGTTTTGGGGACGTAATTAGTGACACCAATGAGAGCACTTAAGCCCGGTCCTGACATGTAGTAGCCACTCAGTGGTAGCCATGCTGGGTTGTGGAAGGGTAGCCACCACTCAGGACAATGAGTCATCAATGAGGGAAACAAAGGCATTGGCGCCCTTTGACCAGGCGGGGTCCATGGGGTTGTGTCTGAAATGAAATACACTAGACCAGCGGTTCTCAACCTGTGGGTCGCGACCCCTTTGGGGGTCGAACGACCCTTTCACAGGGGTCGCCTAAGACCATCGGAAAACACGTATATAATTACGTATTGTTTTTGTGATTAATCAATATGCTTTAATTATGTTCAATTTGTAACAATGAAAATACATCCTGCATATCAGATATTTACATTACGATTCATAACAGTAGCAAAATTACAGTTATGAAGTAGCAACGAAAATAATTTTATAATTTTATGTTTGGGGGTCACCACAACATGAGGAACTGTATTATAGGGTCGCGGCATTAGGAAGGTTGAGAACCACTGCCCTAGACCCAAGCCGTCCTGTGCTTGGCCTCGGCCCCCTCTACAGATGACAGTGCTGTGTAGGTCTTTGTCAAGAGGCAGGATGACTCTTGTCAAAGAGTTAGGGTCTTGGACATCAGAAGAAGCCCATGCCTGCTTGGTTTGGGAAGTGGAGTGAGGGTCCTGCTCTGATGATGATTAAAAATAATGATACCACAAGGAGCACAGGTACCATGGTGGAGTGCCTACTATGTGCTGGGCACTTTACTTGGGAGAGTGGATCCTGTCACATTTTGTAGGTACAGGAGCTCCTATTCCCACATTAGCAGAAAATTCCCCTTTCCTCCTATAGGAGCCTTTATCCTAACTCTTCCCAAAGTCCCTTTCCGGCTTTAAAGGGAGCTTCACATTGGACGGTTACTTTGATGTAGAAAATCAATGATCCCACTTTCATACCCCACCCCTCAGTCTGGCTGCCACAGACCCTCCTGCTCAGCGTGGCCATGGCCCAGCAGAGAACGCATCCCATTGGAGCTAGCTGGATGTGCAGCATCTCGGGCTCTTTTCCAGACCTGCCGAGTCAGAATCTGCATTTTAAAAAAGATCTTTAGACAATCTGTGCACATGGAAGCTGAGGAAGATCCCTTCAGCACAGGGATCCTCAGCTCTGACACACTGGAGTCATGTAGGCAGTTCTGAACACACTAATGCCTGGCCCCCGCCCCAGACATTCTGCATTGATTGGTCTGGGGCAGAACCTGGGCATTGGTATTTCTTAGAAACTTCCCACGTGGTTCCCATGTTCAGCAAACGTTGAGAACCAAAGCTGAGAGGGAGACTGAAGTAAGGATCACATCTTGAGGACTGTGGAGCTGGGGTTCACATCAGACCCACACGGTGGAGCCTGGTTGGTCCAGTCAGTGGCTGCAGGGACAGGTCCAGTCCGTGGCAGGCATGCAGAGGGGATGGAGGGCTCAGGCTCACCTGAGGGCGGGCTCAGGCTCACCTGAGGGCGGGTTCAGTCTTCAGCTATGAATGAGGACACCTGTGCAGCAGCAGGCACAAGGGGAAATATCAGAGGTAACTAGAGGGCCCAGCAGAGCCAGGCGTCAGGAAATGTATCACATCTGGATCCGCAGGTCTCCTGAGCCCAGGATCTCAGAGGCGTTCAGTGGCTCGCTTGATGCTTATGGATGGGAGGAGTGGGGACCTCGCGTGTTTACCTGGCCTGACTCACTAGCCGCAGCTGGGGGAGAGCAGGGTACCTGCTCCTTGCAGTA